GACTCCAGTGGGAGAAAGACGTGGCTCCAAATTGGAGATAAATGGCACTAGAGCTGAAAGTCAATGCCATAGTCGTGATCAGGGCACCGAATAACGTTCAACTTTCAGACAAGTTCTTGCTTAATGGTATGTGAAATCGAAATTGCTGAATAGCACCGACTACGGGCTATAGGATGTGCCTATAAATGGCAGATATCCGAGTAAAATTCATTAACAGACGTATATGGAAGCGACAACAACGGAAAATAAAAAATGCAAAAACGTGCAAGCCGAGGGGAGTCGAACCATCATCCCCATCCCCACTGCCTGCTTGGGAATCCTCCACGCTAGTCCAAACTAGGCCATCCGATCGTTGGCACAGGCACCACTTCGATTGCTTAAGAGCCCATCGAATTGGCCGTCGACTCTTAACTACGTGCCACAAGTAAGACCCCATTGACGACCACTTTTCTCATAGATACCAGTACAACCTTTATAAGGACCCTATAGGCAGCAACTGGCCGAAAGTTGCGAGTGATTTAGAGCCCATTCAGGCTCAATAACAGTCGGTTTCCATGGACTTTTTTTTCACTCCATTTTTGGCATTCCCAGAGGCGTTCAGGAAAAATGAACACCAGTTTGGTACTCCATGCACGTGACCCCACATCATGCGAAAAACCGTTTTCAAAAAGCGCTCCACGTCCTGAACGACCTCCCTAGTTAGCCAACTAAAACAATCCGTTTGATTCAGGAAGAACGATGGCGGCCATATGTCTTAGAATCGGAGTCAGCGCTCACTCGACTTGTAGAAGAGCTATCAGATGTTGGTCTTAACATCGACTGGACTGTGGCTGCCGACAGTCGTGCAGCCGTCTTACTCTCTCCACATGCCATTCATTTCGCGCGCGTGGCACATTCACTGGCCAGGGATCTGGGACCTCTTCGACGGTTAGTTTCGCAATGACGTAGCTGAAGAGAAGAGCTTTTGGGCACTATTTACCTTTTACAGCCCCATTTTTCAATCAAACCGGTTTCTTCATTGTCTTTTTTCTTCGCTGGCAGATTTGGCTGAAAGTTTGACTCTAGACGGACTCCTGAACGAGTATATCATACTCGCTAGGCAGGAAACTGCTCGGCGCCTGTGAACAAGGTTTACCTTGCGGACTAGCGGACGCAAGGCTCTTTCGCGCTGGGGAGTCAGGCGAACACGGCGAGGGAAGATGGTAGCCTTTTTGACTGCCTGGCGGTTCTGTGAACGTCTCTTTGTATGAAGACTAAGCCTCGGGCAAAAAAAGTCCACTATCTTGGGAGGAAGAGTATAGACGAGCAGAACAAGTCCGCGCTGTAACATTAGGGTATTTCGACGCCGGCGTATGTGGCGCGAGCACCTTTCGGGACGGATGGATGCGGTATTCATAGTCAGGGGATCGAAGCACCAATGGGAACCTAATTTCAGACAAATCGAAACTCTGATCCAAACTTCGACTTACGGGCAGTAAGGATAAGTAGTGCCTAGTTTTTGTTCTTATACTTCCGACTGAATCTTCTCGTGCTTTGCTCCTACTTCCTTAGTTACGAGTTTGGTTGAGCTCTTTCAGATCGCCTGCTCGTTCATCATGTGACCGTTGCACGAATGAGCTTTGGAATGAGTACCTTCGTCATTTATCTTCTTCCATATGTGATAGCACAGTGTATGCTTACACTGCTACTTTTATACTAACTCAGGTAACGATATTTTCCCAAAAATAAGGTATTTTTAGGTAGATCCTTCAATATTACAGGTCCTGCCTCTTTGTGAATCGGCATTGTATCAGGAGGATGAACAGAATGATGTATTGACCCGACTTTTAGCTGATAACTACCCGAAACTTGTTCCTTACGCGAAGGACAGCGAAGAGGAGGTTATAGATGAGGAGGAAGTAGCCCATATTTAGACGATTCTTCGTGCTTGAAGATTACGTGTATTTCTCCCTAAATATTGAGTATATCTGTTTTAGATCTGTATTAAGTATTTTTATTGATTTGACTGTCTTTCTCGCGCTTGTTATAGTTGTTAAATTTCTAGCTGCATCATTGCCATGTCCGTAATCTGACCTCGGCATAAATGCTCTCGCTTTTGGGTGTATTGCATATGAACTCATATGAAAGTTCTTACTAGAATCAGCCGGAGAAGCCATATGTGAATCGGTGGTATCCAAGCTTCTTACCCAGAAGCGCAGAAAGCAGCGAGTTGGGAGGGTGGTTGATTTGTGGCTCTTGTTAAATCATGACATCGTGGTGAAGTTTGCGGTGAGGCCAACTATGAGCTGACGCAGGGAGCCTCTAAGGCTACTGTTCAGTCTTGTTCGGCTGCAGATGCTGGGGTGTACAGGGGGGAGAGGGAGGTAAATAGCACATGTGAAACAGGAAAAGCCGCGAGACAATACGACCCCCTCTACCAATTTTCAGATTTTCCCCAACTTCCTGCCACTTTTTCCAAAATTTCCCGAAAAGTTCCCTACTTTTCCCAAAAATTTTGAAATTTTGCTGTCGAGGGGGGGGGGGGAGGAAGGGGAGGGTATATAGTACGCATGAAACAGGAAAATCACAAAAAGTCAACCACCGCTCCTACAACGCCAAAACGTAAATACGACCCCTCCTCCCAACGACCGAATATAACCCCCTCCACATCATCCGTTAAGCGAGAAAAATCAACTATCAACATAAATTTTTCCCGGCCCCATCTACGATGACAACCCCTATTCCCAACAGAACGGTGCCGCTCCCAGCATCCGCAGCAACCAAACTGCAGTGGTGGGTGGCGATAGCAGCGTATTCATTCCGTACAAAGGATGTCAAACGCATGGCAACTGCGTACTCACTGCTGCTGCAGTAATCACGTCCTAAGTGTACATTGCACAGCTGTGCTACTGGGGCAGCCGTCGGACCCAAGTTCAATTTGCCTGCTTCTCTGCATTTGCATTTATGTCTTGATGTTGCCATCTTTTACATAACCTTCAGACTGACCCAAATGGAGGAAGTAATCACACTGTAAATGTGCCGCCTTTCGTCAGTGAAAACCCTAATCCAAATGTTTCACCAGTTGCCGCTCTATGTGGCGGGTGCTGTATGGCCCTTAAGTAAAGAGTGAGGGTAAGTTCCTCTTCACGTTCAGTAAATTTTCGTGCTACTGCTATTGACAATTCACAAGATTCTGTGTCTAACTCAGTGTGTGGTCCGCGCTGTCTCGACAGATTTTAGCCCGCGGCAGCCTTTGACTCACACTAAAACTCGAAGTCCAATGATCAACACGGTCAAAAAGGGCGTCAAAAATCCATATACTGCAGAGTAATCTGCAGTGTGGTCAAGTGCATGTGAGCATTTTCGCACATGCTTCTGTAGTTCCTCTCATGCCTTTTTCTCACCTTTTCGTGCTGCTACTTTTAAAGTATTGAAAAGCCAATCTGGTAAGAAACATGTTGTTCAACTTTTGTTGGCGCAGATTACACACAGTCGACATCACATTCTGCGGAGACCTCTTTCGAGGATAAACAGAGGCCTCGGTCCATTTTTTCGCAATAGTTGGAGCTTATTTCAGTTAGTAATACAAACCTTACAAATAGGGGAATAATTAAGGAAAAACCATGCCAAACTAATTCTTTCTTTTCAGTGTCAAGCCGTGGCAAAAGTCGTCATGGTCTATGCCACCTGGATCGTCAGCACCCATAGAACCACCTACTGGTCTGGTCCTACAACTCTATGTCTACTTGAGCTCGTAATTTCAGCGCGATAGTAGTGTCTTATGGCAGATCCACATGCCTACAACCATTTTGAGGTGAAGCATACTCGTATCTTAGCCACACCGGTGAGGGGTACCAAGTGATCAAAGTGGCGTCCTACAAACGTAACGTGACCAGCAATGTAAACAACGGGTGTGCATTTATGTTTCTTCATAACGACTGCTCTCAACCATGCAGCCGTCCGATAAACACAGCTGTCCTGAATGCGGCCAAGTTCTTACAAGCGAAGTTCGTATCGTCATATGAAGACTCGTCACAATTATTCGGATGAACAGTGCCTTTAAATGAAGAAGGAGAAAGCTCAAGCAAGTTCTACTGTCTGCCCAATATGCGACGAATAGGTATTAGATCAGGTAGATTTGGCCAACCACTGCTCAGGATTTCACTCTGAAAACGGATCTAGGGTCGACCTCAGGATTACACCATATTCGTGCAAGAGTTCCCGAACGAACAGGGGTACAAGGCATCTTGGAGTTGGTAAGGTTAATTATTCATATGTCCTGATAAAGTCTATAGCTTCAGCAATAGTTTTCTGAACAGTGTAAAAACCGCTGTACTACATTTTCGCAAACAGCAAAAGACAACAAGAATTTCGGCACAGTTGTGAGACTTCGGTAGGTTCTTTCATGTAAACATATCATAAAATACTCATTAAGTGGCAAGTTAGATGTAACCGTGCAGGTAAGAACCCCAACACGGCGACAGTAAGGGTTCGAACTCGGAAGGACAACACCTTCTGCCCATGCTTTTTAAATGTTGAATATTGCAACAATGACATGGTCACCGTTAAAGGATGTTTTGGACATGCTGGTCATGAAGTAGATCCAGCCTTGCTGCGTTTGTCCACGGAAGAACAGGAATATTCGAAAATGCCACTGGAAGGTTTATAATCATTAAGATTGCAACTCCAGTTCAGCGCGAACGTCATGCTTTTAGATCACACAATCAACTACATCACACAACGTGTTGGGAAAGGCCATCGCGAGAAGAATTCTAGGCTCTTCTTGTTACCAGAAACGATCTCTGAAATCTCATAAACAAGTATAAAATCAGACCAGTTTGTTGAGACGCTGTCGACATGACATCTGGTACGTTACGGGTGGAGGAGAACAGTACTGACGACGGCATACGGCTACTTATACCCCGCACGATCCAAGCGGAAAGGAGTTTGTTATGGGCGAGCTGAACTTCAATTCATTGAATCTGGAGATCTAAATTTCTTCGTACATGGGAGAACTTTTCTGTCATTGTTACCCCATTGCAACTCCAGTGGTTACGAGCATAGATATAACGTGAAATTAGCCACCCTTACTGTGACAGATCACAAAGATCGAGGGCTTCCAGCAGGTCGGCCACTTGCTCAGTGCATTATCTATTTTGAACAATTACAGCTTTTCTATAGCGGAACAATGACAGCGAACGACGTGTTAGAGATGAGTGAGGTGATTCGGAACCTAGGTTTCACCCGCGCACCACGGTCACAGATGAGGCACAGTGCTTTTGGAACGGTTTTGATGCTCTGACACAGATACACTTCTGTCGGACGCTCATCGCAAAGACTTGGGAGCGGAAGGCGGGGGGCTTGTAGAAGTGGGCACTCATTTCATGGCATTAGACAACAAGAGAGTTGTCAGATACATTTCAGGCTGCTTTGCAACCTGCTGTTAATAAGGCTGTTGGAAATCTGCTGAAGGAGGAACAACTCGAGGCATCTGAGCATCGCTTTGCCAAAGTCCTAACCTTCTTGAGAGCCAAGGGACAAAGTGCTGTGGCCGACTATCTCACAGAGGACTACTTAGTTTTGTTTGCGAGATCTAAAAGTTTTTAATTCACTCATCCAGCATATTGATGTAAAATGTCTAGGCAAAACTGAGTCATGGGCCTCCTCCGCGAA